CCCATTCATTCATCTATCTGTCCAGAGGACTAATACCAAAAAAGGACCATCCGATTTCAATACAGTATAATGTGTGTATGATGTGACCAGGAGCAGAACACATCCTCTGACCTAAACAGGAAGCACTAGAGAAGTTGTCAGAAACAGTGATTTCTATGCAGAGAAAAGACAATGAGTAAAAGAATTATCTAGGTAGGGGAATGAAGGCTAGATGTGTGGTGATCGCCCTATGCTTCATGAAAAGATCCTAAGACTAGAAAAATCATGAAATCACAGCACTTCAAATAAACTGTAATTATTTCACTACAGCCGGGCAGTTGGATGCTTTTATTCTGCTGAGGATGAGGAAGGAGAGATCGTGGATCGAAAAATGAGAGTGTTTACACAACAGCTAGAGAAAAGAAACTAAGAATCTATACTCAGGGCGATTGCTTCAGCAATTCACCCACCATTAACCATTATCCCCTGTGGCTTAATTGCTACTTCTTAAGCACTCCTCAGACTCACTCACTTGCACCCAGTTATTTTCCTTTCTTGCCTTTGTTTACCATTGTTTACCCTTTGGGACACACTGAGCAGAGTAGTAGTTCTTCATCATCAAACACTGTCTTTTCTTTTTCTTTCTTCCACAAGTTATTTCCTTATCTACACCTCTTGTCTAGATCTGTAAACATGTTCACAGTGGCTATGGCCAAGACATCTGAAATTTATACTTTCCCTTTGAACCCATAAAATTTAGCTTCTGCTTCTCTCATTACTCAGGAAACAACGTCAGGTCTACCGACATAAAAGTAGAACATGCTCTTTGATATGGATTTTCCATTCACTTGATGCTCCTTCAGAACAAGTTACTGTTCTAACTCAGGGTAATAAAACCGTGTGTGGTTCTCACAACAGCCACTTTCCCAGCAATATTCACAGGGGCAGCTTGCATCTATAACTTCAGCCAACACACATATTAGGCACAAGGGGCCGGGGAGGGTCTGGCATAAAAATGCACACTACCTGAAAAACAGTATAAAGGACCTGTTTTAATTATGACAAATGCATTTCTGTTTTTCAAAGACATGAGTAGTTGTACAAACATAGCTTTAAACTTTATACTTTTATTATCAACAGTAAGTGGAAAGGTTCTGATTTAATAACTAATGATATTTTATAGGTTTCAATTCTGTAACTTCACCCCAGAGGATGTGGAGTTCCAATCTTCCGTATTTCACAGTCACTTAAACTCAATGAGTCAGCGATGGAATTAATTCTCTCTCCTGCTCCCTTCCAGAACTTATTTGTTCCCCAGCGCCCCCTCCCGGTAAATGACACCACCTTGCAGACAGCTGTTCAAATCGGATAACTCAGTGTCCCCTCACATACAATCACTAAATTCTCCTGATTCAAGAGTAGCCTCAGCATACTGTGAATCTGATTCAAGTCAGGAGAACTCTGTCCTCATGGCTGGTCCTCTAGTTTGAGACTCCAGCTGTCACTTGTAGAAAGGAGTTCAGAAGCCTCCCCATTGAGCTGCTGCCTCTAATCTCTACCCCTCGTTTAGCCCTCCAATCTGTACCCCTCAGTTCAGTCTGAATGACCATTCTCAAATACAAACTGATCCGTCCAAGCAATCCTCATTCCCGTTCTTGACTAGAAGACACCCCTTCTCCTATCTGGACCATTCTCCCAGCCTCTCATGTGAAAATACCTGCACCTTAATTTCAAAACCTATTTCCGTAAACTTTCTCATACTAACCTCAATTCATCAATCACGTTATTCCTAACACCCTACACTAACGCTACCATATTTTGCATTGAGTCTGTGTAATTTTTATGACATTGCACATTCTCATCTTTAAGAAAAAATGTATTACTTTAAATTCCTCCCTATACCCAACAGCTAGTAGACTTCTCTTTCAGCAAGTGTCAACAGACATTTAAAGGATGAACACATGTATGATTCATCACGAGTACTGGTTTTGGAAGGTGATGGATCTGATTTTAAATCCTAGGTCTAACACAGGCTGTGTAATCCCAAAGTTCTTAATTTCTCTAAGTCCACTTTCGTCCGTGTCAGGAGACTTGAAGCACCCTGGTATACAACATTCTTGAGTGAGTCACTTAGGCAAAGCCCACCCAAAAGTCATATTAACTTAGTGCAGGCAATGGGAACACACAAGCTGGCAGGTTGGATGCAATCCTCCAGGCCTTGCTCAAGCTCACAAGAGGCCCACTTCATTGCCGGCACATACAGGTGCGCTGGGACTGGGATCCGCAAGAGCCCTGCTCATGTCGCACCCTCCCACACTTTCCCTTTTTTTAAGGATTGCGGAAGAATAGCCTTGCATATCTGGAGAAAATCCAGTCTGATCTTGGATCTGGGCTACTCAGGAGAGTTGCAGACAAAATCTTGAGCGGGCTTCTTTTGCTGACCTACAGTTCTTCCTTTTGAGGGCAGGGGACACTGGTGGTCTCAGCTATTTCTGTGCCAAACAACCCAGAGCAAGCCACAGGGGTCATTCGGCAGACCATAAAATGGTAATATCCAAGTACCTACTTCACTGTGCTGTTGAAATGGTAAAAAATAGTACCTGACACGTATTAAGTGTTCAGTAAATGATGATTAAATAGTATCATACTTTAGTAAACTAATATTCTGCAAGGCTAATGGTACACAGAGGTGGAGAATAAGAGTGTTGACTATGGTGTAATTGAGGAACTAAAGTCAATTTGATCAAATACATTCCCAGAAGGCATTCACACCCAACCCATTTTGAGGTTATTTTCGGTCATCTGTGAGAGTATTTTTCCATTAAGGTTATTTTTTTTCTCTTTTATCCAAAATTATCCGACAGCCACTTTACATTGAATCCTGCTGTATCATTTTACCGTGTGTTTATGTTTGAGTTTAAAATGTTGGCTCTCGCTATTGACCCTTCAACCGTGGGTCCATGAAAAAAGGAGGTTGACTAAGTGCCCGGATGATGTGCTTACTCCAAGAGACAGCAGATGAATTAACAGCAAAAAGAATGTTTCATGGGGTTGCGGGGCGGGTTGGGGGGAATCTGAGTTATCACCCAGCACGCGGCGGCAGAGAACTCAAAGGAGCCTGCACCCCATCAGTCACTTCATAGGGACGGTACTGTGGGAAAACAGCATCAATAGCCTTGTTAAACTAACGCTGAATTTACATACGAGATCGAATGTGTATTAAGTGTGTGCTGCTGGGGAAACTGCTTAATACCTCTAAGACTCCATTAGATGGGTGATTTTTAGGATTAAATTAGTACGTCTATAAAAACTATTATCTGACGCAGAATAAGTGCTCAGTAACTGTTTGCTATTATTATACACTGATAAATAAATATTTTGCAAGGTAGACGCTCTGAATCAGTAACTATAAATATGAATCATTTTGGAGTTTGCTTTGCTGATTGCCCATCGTGTGGCACGGGCTTTATTAAAACTCTACGATCCAAAGACAAATAAGACTGACTGTCCAGATTCTGTGTTCCAGAATCGCAATTTTGGGTGGGACGTTTTTTTTAAGGATGATTTTATTCAAGTGGGATCATTGTAAAGGGAGGAGCTAACACATACCAGGAGCAGCTAAGCTGAACCGCAGAAGCCAGGAAAGCTAGAAGGAAGTCGGGCAGATGATGAGAAGTAAGCTGCCCATGGCTCATCTCTGATTTAACGGCTGGAGGAGGCATGAGAATAAGCTGGGGCTCTGGAGTCTGGCAGGCTTGGCTGCAAACCCAGCTCTGTCACTTCCTGTCTGGGTGGTTGGAACAAGTCAACATGGAATCCCTAAGCTCTAGCTTCCTCATTTGCAAAGTAGGGGAATGGAACAAGTTACCTAATAATATTTATCCGGACTTTGTTTGGAATTATAGACTAGCTGGTTAATATGGTATTAGACATATAATGAGCACTCAAGAAAAATTTGTTACGTCTAGAATTATAAAAATTAATCCTATTAACATTAGTGCTATTGCTGCTAATACTATTATGACAATTCTGCCGACGTGGTTTCTCTGTCTGACACAGGATAGACAACTTCAACAAGCTGCCTGTCCTCTATATGACATGCCTTCCTTTACATAAATAAAGTGAACCTGAAAAAGTGATGAAATACATGTGAAGAAAGCTTTAGTGGCTAAAAAAATAAAGGTTTATTAGAGGAATAAGGATGCAGTGAATTGAACAGTTATGGGTTCTCCTCCAGATTCTTCTGTGGACTAAGATGTGAGACGCTGGGCAAATTACTGACTCTCTCCAAACCTCAGACTGCTCGTCTGATAATTGTAGATCATGTTAACTAACGACAGGATGGTGTGGCTTGAGGTGGGCTATCAAGAACTCTCAGGTCTCTGTCCCACAAAAAGACATAATAAAATACTTCATTAAGAGGAGACTAAGTGAAATCTGTGGTTTCTATCTTTTATGTGAAAGTATTTCAAACACATCTTACATTTTGGCAGGGGTCTTTACCTTTTCTATGAATTTATGCACAGGGCATAGCATATTTATAAGTGAGTTTCATGGCATATTATTTTTAGGCTGTAGAGAAGAACATTCTGTGGTCTCAAAACAGATGATTGGTTTTACTAAATGGGCCACTGTCTTTTATTAAATTTAGGGTGCCCAAATGAAACATCATCACATATAGTCTATGGGGGGACATTCTAATATTTAAAAGTTAAGATCTGGTCAAAAATATCAGATTTGGATAAATGGATTCACATATGTCTACAAACATGTATCTCTATCTATCTATCTCTGTAACGATTTGTCTAGCTGTAAAATGCTTCCATTTCTGATTTAAAATATAAAAGCTGAACACGTAAGTCAATATTGGCATGTATGGGCACAAATAAAGCTTCCCACAGAAACTGCTCCCGTTTTTATGTCTCTTTACGCAGCTCTTAAATCAATTTCAGCATACAGTTTAGCTTTTAAAACATCTCCTTTGGTATCTATTCCACTGTGTTGGATAAACAAACACTTACTATATGCACATCCAAACACCTCGATTCGCATTCCAATTCTGCCCCTGGGGTTCCACTCTAAAGGGATGAAGCGCAGAAATCTGGCTTTGATAGAAGGCTGGAGTCTATAGTACACAACACTGTCTGCATTTGCATTTCCTGAAAATCCCTAGAAGAAAAGAGAAAAGAAGGAAATCAATGTACCTGGAGAAGATCTATTTCACTTTGTCTCCTACAATGTCAACAAGCAATGTATGATTTGCTTTTTTACTATAAAATGGCAACCTTCTTTAAGAAGATCATATTGTTAACAGTTATGCCATAACGTATCTTCATCTGCATAAGTTACTATTGTCTAAACCTCTTTCTATCTAGCAGTTTAAATTCCATCACCTGCAGCAAGCCAGCTTACAACTATGAAACCCCCAGTAAAGTTTGTTTCTATAAGGTGCAGATGAAACATAAAAGTTACTGACATTGTGAACCATGAGAAATATTGAGAACATCTTCTTCCTGTATTCAAAAGCTAGGATCTGATTCAGCATAGAAGTTACTCACATCATTGATGAATGAGTAAGGTTACGACTTGTTTGTATTGTTTCACTTTATCTTACTCAGTAACATAAATGAAACTTATCACCAGACATTCAAGTCAGAGCTACACTCTGAAAATAGGTTGTTAAACTTCATTCACCACAAGGCTGGATAGACACCTTAAAAACTGTTGTTGCGTGTCACTTTTATTCAATAAAAAATAATAAAATAAAAGCGCCTGTATTTAAACAATTGTTAAGGGAAATTGGAATCAGTCATCATCTGGAAAGACCTGAAATTAGACTTACAGATTTTAGATTTGAAAGCTAGAAAGACCATAGGAATGATGCTGAGCTAGCACCATCAAATTGCAGATGAGGAAATTAAACGTCAGAACGATGAAAAAAAAGTCTCCGGTGTTTGCAAAACTATTATATGGTATGACCAGGAGCTATACTCCTTCCACAATATCAGGATGCATCTACCTAGCATATAGCCCACCTGCAAAACCCACACCTAACCAGCTTTTATTTTCCCCTATGTGACATATGGTAAATCTTCATATGTGAAAACGTTAGGATGAAGCAGTTGTTCTCAATAATTGATACTTAATTTTTATTTCAGCTTCTCCTCTTCCACCTCTTCCTTCCTTTCCTCCCTCCTTTTCTCCTTCTTGCCTTCCCCTCCTCCTCCTCCTTCTTTTTTTGTTTAACTGTAACCATCAGGATACGTAGGAACTACTGAAATAAGGGATGATGCTACGACCTATTCAGCCGCGTGGTAGGTCCCCTTACCATGACTGGATCAACGAATGAGGTCACCCTCATGTAGATCATACCAAACAAAGCAAATATTTTAGGAACACCAATACCCAGGGAGTTTATTCATTTGCCTACTTTTCTTTCTACTTCACAAATATCTCTTTACCAACGTTTACTAAAATATTTTCTAACACAGTAAAAATTAAAAGTAAGGTTGGGTTTTTCAGTCAAATTAATTTGATTTGATTCCCCTTATCAGTCAACTCTAATTCCTGCCCCCCAATGCCCCCCACCCCAGTACCTCATACACCCAATTTTCAGGCTCACACAAAACAGACAGTTCTATGATGGTGCCTCCAAATTATATCCCAAATCTGGGCACCTCCCTTCATCTCAGCTACAACCACCAGGTTCAACAAAGCATTATCTCTCCAGAACTACTTCAATGGCCTCTTCCTCATGTTTTTAGTCTTCTGTTTCCTATCACCATCCCCATCCCCATCCATATCCCTAAATCTCTTTCCCTCTGAGCAGTCAGTAAGATTTTTAAAGGTAAGACAAACTATGTTACCCCCACTGCTTCCTTTACCACTTAGAAGAAAATCCAAATTCCTTATCAAACATAACACAGTCTTTGGCAATCTCCTCCATGATGCTTTGAGCACAGGGAACCCCCGTGTAGAAGCCAAGCTCAGTCCTGCTGAGGGCCTTTGCGCCAGCTGTTCATTCTGCTGTGAAAGTTCTTCCCTCAAGATCTTTGTACAACCAGCTCCTCTTGTCATCTCAGGCCTTGGTCTAAAGAGTACCACCTAAGACAGGCCCTTTTTGACCACAGCTTCTAAAGGAAGTGTACCTGGCACCCCAGCATCTTATCTTTCTGTTTTATCTTCTTCATATTACTCATTATTTGGGGGTCTTTTTTGATTATTTGTTTATCTTATCCCCTTAGAAGACAAGCTCTGTAAAGCAGGGACCTTTACTGCCTTCCTTCCATAGTACCTAGAATATGGCTTGGCTCAAAGTGGTTCTCAACAAAATATCTGTTGGATGTGTATGTTTGGGAAAGACTGGGCTTAAAAACAAATCAAAGTTCAGCAAGTTTCTTGATTATTGTATCTCTATGAAGATGTCAAATGAGAATGTACAAATGAGCACTGTATCTCCTGAGGGAGGAACAGTTATCCAGCATGTTTCAAACATGTTAGGCCCACATCCCTGGCTACTATTTCCCAGAACATAAACAGGAGGAGATCGTTTAATCCCACAGATATTTGGACTCTGATAACCAGACACTTCTAGAACGTTCCATGCTATTCCACCAGTTGAAATTTCACACTGAGGATTTGATATAAAAGGTTAACTGTATTCTTTATTGTACTACCTAATCCCCATCCTCACTTCACCTTTAGGGCACCATAGTCTCCATTTCTGTCAAAACCATGAACATTTGCCTGAAAATGTCCATTTATACCAACTTTTTCTTTAGAATGGCTGAGGAAGGGCAGTTTCATTTAAGATAGTATTTCCCAAACTTGGACTACACATTAAAACTCCCAGTGCTCAGACCCTGGGCATTGCTGTACGTGTGTGTGTGTGTGTGCCTGTCTGTCTGTCTTTACAGGCTCTCCAGGTCAGGGTAATGTGCCTCCAGGGTTGAGGACCTGGTTTAAAGACATTCAATCCTAATCAGACCTTCTTACACTTATGATTTTATTTTCCTGGGTACCACTGGCAGGTTAATACAAGACCTAATTATGATTTCTTGCAGTGAACAGCTGGGTGATGAATTAGATAACCCTCCAAAAGATCTCACATTTTTTCAAAATTATTATAAGTTCATAGATTGAGATAGATGGCACTCTGTGATCTCAGCATTTTATGGGATTGGGAGAAAAGATGCAGGTGACAATGGCAACAGACAGGTAAATGGGAAGAGTACGTCTGTAAATGGAAGCCCTTCACAGTTTATCTGATCAATTTATGAGCTATTTGAATTTTGCGAACGTAAAGAAGAAATGTAAATTACTTAGTCTGTATAAGTAATAAAAACATCTGAGCACATTCAAAATTTTAAGTGATTATTTCTGTCAAGGGATGAGGGAAATTGTGAGGTGGGGGATATGGGATTTTTACTTAGCACATTTTAGTCATTTCTGAATTTTTTTAATGAGCATGTATTAATTTTATAATAATTAGCAAAATAAAGTAATGCATAGACATGTAAGTGTATACAGTGACAGAATAGGCAGAAATACCACTTAGTAATGCTCTGGGTACCTTAAATAACATTCTAAGATTAATGTTACTGGGAAAACATGCACCATTACTACTAGTTAAATATATTTAACTGAACAATAATATCTGCATTGTTTTGTTCCACTTGTTGCTAAGTTTTAAAACGTAAGATAATAAAGATTCTGCTGTGGAATTCAATATCTAATGGGAATTTTTGTAGAATGTCTGTGAATGAGACGGGGAATTGATGCTATTCACTTTATAAATGCAAAGTCCAATGCATACTAACGTTCCTAATGTAATTCCCTTGCCTAGAAGACTTCTCTCAATTTGCTATGAAAATTTTTTCACATACTCATAATTCATAAAGGAACGCATGAATTTGAATGTCTCATTCTTTTGAAAAAATAATTTTATTATGAGAATGTGTATGTCTTCCCTTATATTGTATATTCTGAACTTTAGTGCTTGTCCAAATTACCTGAGGTGCTGTCGCGCACCAAATCTGTGAGAGGGGCCTTAGAAATCCGCATTTCAATGCAGGTCAAGCTGATTTGTGCTCTTGGTCTTCCGCCTGCTCTTTGAACATTCTTCAGGCTTGTGGATAAATCGTGCTGTTTTTCCCCTCCCTATTTTATTTCAAAACTTCTCAGAGAGGGAAAAGATTTTAGGAGAACAGTTGACTAGGGCTAACCTCCAAAGGGAGAAATAAGTAACAAACGTCTTCTGTGCTATCAATCTGAATGTCTTCAACGTGAAAGCTTGTGTCTCAACATCAGACATAGCAGAAATATATATTATGTAGTTTTAATATTCGCCTCAACCCTGTGAAGTATTTTTGTGGCCACCGTAAAACTGAGGATAACAAAAATTATAGAGCTCATGTGCCTAAAACCACGCAGCTAGAAGGTGACAGAGTAAGGATTTAATTCTATACTTTTCTGAATCAAAAGCCCGTAATTTAGCTAAGCCATCTGAGGCCTCTCTCCAACAGAACGTGAAAGCAAACAACTCACCCTAGAGGAAACCTGATATTTTATCTGAGGCTGTTTTTCCCTTTTTCTCATAATTTATATTTAAAATCTTTGACACATCTGAAAGTAATGCAACTTAGATTATTACTGAACTGGGACACAACTCTACCAGTTGACTTTTATAGACAAAAGGATTGTTCTATTAACTTCACATTTTCACACAATTACTACAGCTGAAGGAAAATAAAAGACAAATTTTCAAGCATCAATAGGACTCCTGCGTAGAAACGGTAACCTAATAGATGCATAATGTAGAAGAACACGCCATTAGATCATCAAATACATGAAATAGCTACAAGTAAAATTAAGGTGATGTGTCTTATGTGATAAAAATCAAAAAGCCTTAATTGTATTTTTCTTTTCTTTGAGACTTGACGATTTTCAAACTCAGTGAGATGCTCAAAGATGGTTTAGAAATGTATTCTAACCTAGATAATTTATGGAGTTAATGAATTAAAGTTTTTCACAGGATTTTAAGTATTTTCAAAGTGCTTCTAAAGTTTATGAAAAAGTGTAATAGCATTAACTTCTTTTGCAAATAGTAATTGAGCAACTCATCTATGAAAGCCAAGATACATAAAGGGAGATGGCCACATATGGCAGTT